CAAAAAAAAGACTTAAGAAACTTTTCAGGCCAAAGGACATTCTACTAAAATCCTGATACAAAAAGCAATGAAGAAAAGAATCAATGAAGGGCTACTACTCATAATGGAAACAGAAAGATATTGGGTGATTTTCCCCTGAAGAAGAATAGATAAAAGTCAATAAGACTACTCAAAAAAGGGGAAAAAAATTCAGATTACTAAAAATGGATCAAAATCAGACAATAAATGGAAAAACTTGCAAAACTGTTGAGCTTTGGGTAACAATGGAGGCAACACTAAGATTATAGCCTTTTATGCCTGGTGATACAACCATGCACCTGTAAAAATTTTAACTTTATAAGTTCCAAGCCGGATGCAGTCAGAGTACTGAACTTGATTCAGGGGTGGGGAAAAAAACAAAACAAAACAAATCAAAACAAAAACCCAGTTACTTTGCTGGATAAAGTGGAAGACTTGGTTCTAAAAGTTTGGGGAAAACCCATAGCCCTGCTCATCCACAGCTGTTAGCTGAGACCATGATCAGCCACAGAGTAATAAAAACTAAACTGAAAGATACTAGAAGTCAAACCACAATATAAGAGCTAAGACAAGCTCACATATATAACTGACTGACTGCTAAACTAAAATATAAAAACCAAAGGATAAAAGAATTGGTTGCAACTTTGAATGTGTCCTTCAACCCTCAAGTAGTTAGCTCATTTGCCCTATAGCCTCATGATGTCTGAAACTAGATGCTTCTCAAATCAACGGTTGTTAAGATGGAAGGATGAAGCCAGGTGAAAATAAAACTGAGCAGAAATGTTAGAAGATACACAATGTAGGGGAAACAATAACAGTTTAAATCTAGGTAAGCTGTAAAGCAGGGAAAATAAAACACTGAAAAAGAATACAAAGTTGCTAAAACATTTCATCTAAAGTGTCAAGTTTTCAGCCAAAACTTGCCAGATATAGGGAAAAAGCAGAAATATAATGATACATGGGACAAAAAGTGCAGTCAAATGAAACTTACTTTTTTTAAAAGAATTATTTATTTGTTATTATTATTTTAATTTGACAAGAGACAGACACATAGAGAAAGGGAAAGTGAGAAAGCAAGCCTCCAGGTCCAGGACTCAACCTGTGGTTGGTCATGTGGGAGTACAACACCTTAACCACCATGCCACCTGCCAGCTCCCAAAAGAAACTTACTTTTAAGTGTGGCCAGATGTTTAATACTTCAAGTAACTATTATGAATAGTTTCAAAGAATTAAAGGAAAACAAACTAAGAAATGTGCAAGAAAACAATTAGGCAGTCCCAACAGAAAATTTAAAACTATATAAAAGAGAAAAATAGAAACTCTATGTCAAACATTCTAGCCTATAAGTAGCAGGAGTCTCAAAAGAAGAAAAAATATCTGCATAACTAGTGGCCCCAAACTATTCAAAATTGATAATATTAATACAAATGTTCCTCAGTTTATAATGGGAGTATGTCTTGATAAATACATCCTAAATTGAAAATATCTCAAGAGGAAAATGTGTTTAACACACCTAACCGCCTGAATCTTAGTTTATTCTACCCTTCCTTAAACATGCTCAGAATACTTATATTAACTTACAGTTGCATTAGATAATCTAGCACAAAGCCAACTTATAACAGTGTTAAATATCTCATACGATAGGCCATTCACTATCAGTTGTTTACTCTCATGATCAAGTGGCTGACAGGGGAGCTGTGAGTCACAGCTGCTGCCCAACATCACAACAGGGTATCACGCTGCATATCACAAGCCCAGAAAACAATCAAAATTCAAAATTTGAAGTATGGCTTCCACTGAATAGGTGTCATTTTTACAAAACCGTAAATCCGAACAGTTGTATGTCAAACCATTGTGACTTGAAGACCATTCGCACTACTCACAATAAACTGATCCAAAAAGCTCAACAAAGCCTAAAAAAGATGAATTCGAGCAGAACTACACCATGGTCACGGTGTTAAAAGTCAAAGAAAAGGAGAAAATACTAAAAATATCAAGAAGAAAATTGACTCATCATGTAAAAAGGAACAATCTTAAGACTACTGGCTAACTTCTCATTACAAATAAGCAAGCAGAGGCAACAGAACGATATATTCTAAGTGCTAGGGAGGGGAATAAAAAACAAACCATCAACCAAGAATTCCATAATGACAAAATACATACATACAAAATAAATAAAAACTAGAAAATTCATTGTTAGCAGACCTAAGCTATAAGAAATGCTCCTACCAAAAAAATACTAATTAAAATTTTTTAAAAAGGCTGAAGTGACTATAATATCAGAGAAAGTAGATTCAGAGTAAGGAGTACTACCATAATTAAAGGGAACATTCATAACAATTCTGTAAGAAGACATATGATACCAAAATTTGTGGGTGAAAGCTAAGTCATAGTTGGTAAAATGTATAGTAACTTTGACAGTACTAGGGAAAAAAAGGGTCTAAAATTAATGGGTTAAATTTCCATAATGAAAAAAACAAAACAAAAACACATCAATAATAAGTAGATAAAAAAGGCAATCAATAAAATATAATGCCAGATGGCGGCACAGAGATAATACAGTGCTCTGCAATACTGGACCCATAGGTAAAAGTCTCAGGGCCTTATTTTGACATAAGGGGTCTTACGATGCAGGTCAGGTATGCATGGGCCCATGCTCCGGGCTGGCTGGTGCTCATAGTCAACGGCAGCATGGGGACTGTGTTGGAAGTGCTCCCTCTCTCTTCCTCTGTCTCTCTCAGAAGATACAGACTTTAATAATAATGATGATAATAATAATAAAAAACTATACTGAGCCAGCCTGTGGCATGTTGATTAACATGACTGAATGCCACATGGCTGACTGAGCGGCTTGAGTCCTGGACCCAGCAACTTGAAAAACATGCCTGGTGTGTGCACATGCAAGCCCAAAATCCTAAGAGGAGAATGGAGACATGATTGCAGTGTAGTCATCCCTCCTGAAGGATGATTTCTCATTCCCCCCAACCCACTGCCCAACCACTGGTCTCTCTCCAGCAAGCATATGCACCCTATAGCAAAAACTGAAAGAAAAAGAGTGAATACGAACATACAAAAATTAAAGATATCAGATAAATCACAAAGATAAGTGTATGAACTCTTACACAATAGTGCATACAATATTTGACAGAAATGGCAAAATTAATCTGAAAACATATCAGTGGATCAGGATAGAGGTGGACTAAGAGCAAACAAACATGAAGGAAATTTTAGGTGGCTGATAAAACCTGTTAATCAATTATCCACCTAGCCACTCCTTATTTTATATAATTGTTTTTAGTTTGCTATAGGGCATATCTGTTTTCCAGAGATAGCAAAGAGAGACAGAGAGGGAAAATGAGAGATCACCCCACAGTGGGGATAAGCCACACCACAATCCCATCTCTATTCTCCTCTCAGGATCTTGGGCATGCATGCACACATGCCCAGCATGATTTTGAAGACCCCAGGTCTAGGACTTGAACTGTGATTGGCCATGTGGGAGTCCAGCACTTTAACCATGCCACCTGCTAACCCCATCCTGGCATGTTTTTCAAGTCACCAGGTCCAGGACTTAAACGGAGCAGTGGGCATATGAGATCCAGTTGCTTTAACCTCCTACACAATTTGCTGGCCTGATACTTCTTGTTTGTAAGACATTCTCAAGCTTCCCATTCTGTTCAAAGTAGCTGCTGTTATAAAGTTCTTCATATGAAACTAAAATGTCTTTCTCTCTAGACTTGTATCCTTTGATCCTACATCTACATTCTATAGAGCAGTTCTCAAATTTAGATGTGTATCAGAATCATATGGAAGGTGGGTGTGGTATAACACAAACACTGTTGAGGTCTACCCTGAGGTTCTGATTCAGGAGATCTGAAAGAGGACTGATGCAGGTACTGGTCCAGAAATTCACCTCTGAGAAACACTGCCCTAGAGAAACACAAACTGTAAGACTACTCATGTTTCCAAGGGCATCATTTTCAACATTAAAGAGTTACTACATTTTCTTTTCCAAATTAAAAACATTCTCAGCTTTTCCACATCTCACTTTTCCAGTTCTTTTGTTAGAAAAGTCAATGTCCCTTCTAACATGCAATCCCAGGACTGAGACTGCCAGCTGTGGTCTAACTAGTTCCAAAAAAAAAGTTGTATTCCCTTCGACTTGACTATTTTCCCATAAAGCTAAAACTGTTTTTTCTTTCCTTTCATTCGATAACTGTGTCTATTAACTAAATATCTCCTGATTATCACAAACTGACAAACTCTTATAAGAACAGTTCTCCCCTAAATCTTTATAAAGGTAATTTTGTTAAACTTAAAACCTTATTTTATCTCACCTTTTGGGTGGAGCTTTGAGTCCTGCTTCTGTTGCCCCAAATTGAAAAAATTGTTCAGACTCTGCCATAAAAATCTACAAAGCAAACCCTTTGTTCCATGAACCTAAGTTCTGAATAAGAAACATCCCAAAGAGCACGACTGCTGGCACACTACACCTATTTAAAGAGTAATATCTAAATAGTCAGTACCAACCTAATACCAATCTGAATCGCTGAAACAAATGTTGGACATTTACAGTCTCAACGGAAATGGTACCTGTGGCTTTCTCCATAACCATGCTATTATGTTAATTCTCACAGTTCTGCAAAAATGTAATTCCTGATTGAGGGAAAATATGATCAAAGGGGATGATTTGCTAAGCAGATTCGTGTACCTGTGGCCAAAGACGATCATCTTGAGAACAGAAAATTATTTTTGCTTTCTCATGTGCCAATCTCCTTCAACAGATGAGGGATTGGACAGAAAAGAACGGAAGGTTCAGCAATGCATACGTGAATAATAAATGTTTAAATCAACCTCAGACTCTTTAAGTTTCTAGTTGTGTCTTTTCAATACACTTAAATAGTACAGGAGCAATGACTGAAGAACAAGATAATGATTAATAGCACAAAGGAATTATTATTAAAAAATAAATAAAACACAAATAAGACATGGTAAAATTAAGTTTATTTTGCTCACACTGCTTCCAATATAAACTGTATATAAATGCCGATACTGATAAATCCTTGGAAGAATTACCGATAGAAATCAAAACATCATGCCTTCCAATCCATCCTCCATGAACTTCTTATAAAGTGCCATAAATTTGGCCACAAATGCTTCCAAGTGATAGATGGCTTTGCTACCCAGCTGTAGACGATGTTCATAATAAGCTGCCATCTGGGCCACTTCCCCTTTCAGTTGTCCATCACAGTTATGTAATAGTTCTGAGAGAAGGCCCTAAAGAAAAGCAATTAGTAACTTAAAAAGCAATCATTAAAAAAAAATTAGCTGAACCATGCTTTATTTAAAAAAGTAAAACTTAAGTTACATATGTTCTTCTATATAAGAGAGGACTTTAAAAAGTTTATAGAAAAATGGAATTCAAGAGTACACATTTATTTTGGCATAAAAATAATGAAATCACCAATTCGTCACAGTATGCCTTTTTCAAAAATTCTTTGAAAAGCCCTTATTGTGAGATCTTTAACTTTTATGTAAACCAGTAACTTCATAGAAAAGCAAAATGTTTCAAACCTTTTCTGTAATGTAAAAATATGGTGGTTATTTATCCATTCCAAATTCCAAATGTTTAATCGTAAAAGGATACAAGAATATAGGTTCAGTCAGCTGTCTGTATCTGTCTGCATGTACAGGTCTGCCTAATCAAAAATATTTTTAAAAAATGTTCCAGAAAGTTCCAAAAGCAAAACTTAAACGTATTATGCACCAAGTACTATGCTAAATCGATGGGAATAAAGTGGTGTGTAAGCACTGAATTAGCTATTATTAGAGATCATTTCAAGTATATGGGGAGATATGCATAGATTATAAGCAAATACTACATCATTTTACATAAGGAACTTGAGCATGTGCAGAGTTTGATATCCATGGGAGTCCTGGAACCAATCTCTGCAGATACTAAGAGAACTGTACAAAGATACTTACTACAGCATTACCTATAATGATGATAATAATCTGTAAACAACTTAAGAGTTCCAACCATAAGGGTCATATTCAAAAAACTACAATATGGTCATGCAATACAATACCATTCATCCACTAAAAAGAATGAGGTAAATCTGGGACCAGCAGTTAGCGTAATGGCTATGTCGCTGGACTCCCATGTAGTCGACCACGGTTCGAGTCCCGGACCCGGTAGCGGCATAAACTCAGGCTGGGTGCGTGTGCGTGCATGCCCGTGCATGCCCAAGATCCCGAGAGGAGAATGGAGGAGAAGGGACTGCAGCATGGCCATCCCCCCTGGGGGGTGATTTCTCGCTTTCTATCTCTCAGTCTCTCTCTGTCTGGTGAGCACACGCAAAAAAGCCTCTCCAAAAATAAAAAGAATGAGGTAAATCTGTATTATATTGAAACAAGATTCTTGCTACATGAGTACTATAAAATGTAAACTGCAGAACACAGTGCAGACAGAAATTGTGTGATGCTGTACACATACATACATACATACCTGTTTCTAGATGAACAGAATAGACGTGTTAAAAGTGGTTGAAATAGAGGCATTGGACCTTAACTACTTTCTTTGTATATTTTGTACTACTAGAACTTTTTTTTCAGATATTTTTGCTATAGGGCATGTGCACTTGTGGGGGAGAGAGAGAGACAAAAAGCAAGAAATCACCCCCCAGAAGGGGGTGGCCACACTACAATCCCTTCTCCTCCATTCTCTGCTTGGGATTTTGGGCATGCACGCAAGTGCACAAGCATCTTATTTTAAGTAGCCAGATCTAGCACTCACTCGAACCACGGTCGACTATGTGGGAGTCCAGCGATGTAACCATTATACCATCCACCAGATTATTTTAATAAAGCAAACAAACAAACAAACAACTCTGAATTTCCAATTTCCTATTATCTAGTAATCAGTAAATCTAGTTACCTAGGTAGCTGGCAGACCAAACCAGAAGCAATGGCTTAAAATATCCCCCCACAGCCTGCACCCTGCCTACCTCTTTACACTCATGCCGCATGTGTACTGAGTCCTGCTGTCTGAAATGTGTTCCTCAGCTATTTACAAGGTTCTCTAGTTTTAATCCTCCAAGTCTCAGCTTGACTATATCTTCCTCAGATACAGCCCCAGCCTCCATTGTTATTTCACCTCGCTATTTTGTTTACAGCATTTATAACATTCTACAATCTTACGTCTTTGTTTCTCATTTCACAATTACATTTCTCCAGAGAATATAATTTCCCTGGAGACAGAACATCCCCCTGTCTTCTTCAATACTACCCTAATGATGTCTGGTACATGGTAGAAGCTCAATAAATATCTGTAGAATTAATAAGCTGCAGAAAAAGAGGTGAAAATCTATCTTAGTACTACAAAAGCCCTCTGATCCACACCAAGAATCAAATTTTATGGTTTCAAGATATGAAATCAGGTTACCTTCATTATTATCTCTGGAGGAATACAATGAGTGAGAAGCTCATAGAGTCTTCCACGAACTTCAAGGAGCCTAATAAAAGAAAATATTTCAGGATGAAAATGCAGTAATTTTTCTAATTACCAACAGTGCTGTTTTACTTTATGAATAAAATGTGCAACCTAGTACAATCATATTTCTCCATTTTTCACACTCAGAACACATTTACGGCAGTTTCTCCTAATATCCAGAGGGAAATTTTCAGAATTCTTTTAAATTGAAACATTTCTATTCATGGTTATTAATTATATCAAAACACCATGTAAGTATCAGATAGTAAGTAAGACTTCATGAGTACTGACAGCTGCTGACAGCTGAGTTTATTCATATCATGGAATTTAACATACTTTAATGACTTACCAAGTAATGTACCCAGTACATCTAGAAAATGGTTATAAAGATTAAAGAGTCACTAATCAATTACATAAGCAACAAGAGATAGCACAGACATGAAATATTGATGCTATTGCCTACACCACACAGTAAAGTGCAATATGGCTGGACATAAGCTCTCCTGTCATAAAAAGGACAAAACAGGAGGTTATGCATGAAACTAGGGTAAGTGAAACTCTAGACCCCTCTCATAATATTTTTGGAAGGGAAAAGGGTCAGGAGGGAAATAAACATAGAGACTTTAAAATAGAAAAAAAAATTAAAAAGTCAAACAAAATTCCAAATACACATAAAATAGTATCTATATTTCTCTAATTATTTACCTATCCCAAAGGGAAAATAGTGTTTTAAATTGTACTAAAATGATAATATAGATGAGTTGGTATGTCAGATATATCAGGTAGTGATTTCTTTTTAAGACAGATTTTTGCTATAGAGCATGTGCACTCACTGGAGAGACAGGAAGTGAGAAATCACCCACTATGGATATGGCCATACCACAGTCCCTTCTCCTCCATTCTCCTCTTGAGATTTTGGGCATATACACCTAAGTGTCCAGTATAAGTTTTAAGCCACCAGGTCTGGGACCTGAAATGCAGATGACTATGTGGGAGTCCAGTGATGTATTCATTACACCATCTGCTGGTCCTGTCAGGTAGTGATTTCTAAGATTTCTTTTTTTGAAAAAACTTTTGCTATAGGGCACATGTGATCCCCAGAGAAACAGAAAGCAAGACATCACCCCCAGAGGGATGGTCATGCCACAATCCCTTCGCCTCCACCCTCATCTCAAGATCTTAGGCACACGCACATGGGCCCAGTGTGAGTTTCAAGCTGCCAGGTCCAGGAATCAAACTGTGGTCGACCATGTGGGAGTCCAGCACCTTAACCACTATGCCACCTACTGGCCCCTTCAAGATGATTTCTTAAAATTAGAAGTCAGACTCTTCTCTTGAGACCCCAAGAGTATGAAGCACTGCCACATTAAAGCTAAATAAAAGTTAAAAACAAACAAAACTAGCATTTCTAAGTCCCTGCTATGAGCATTAAACTGTAACAAGTAATTTAACAAGTTTTCACACTAGCTCTACATGGAGACATTATCTCCCAATTACTCAACTGTGTTTTGAGTTCCAGACTGAGTGGCTTAAAACTCATGCCGGGAGCATGTACATGTGTCCCTAAAATCCTGAGAGGAGAATGGAGGAAAAGGGACTGTGGTGTGGCCATCACCGTCCAGGAGTGATTTCTCACCTTTTGTCTCTCCCACAAACGTACACATCCTATAGCAAAAATCTCTCTAAAAATAAATAAATAAGGGTAAGATACTTCAAAGAACTTGGCAAAGCTGGCCATTGCAAAGCATGATTCAAATAACACATCTGTGTGTCTTATAGCCAAGTCCATGCCAATATTTTCTAAAGCACTTATTTAACACTATACTCATGTATTAAGTTCACTGCAAAACACTATCTATCCCTCATAACTACATTCTTTTTTTGGGAAGAATTATTTCATTTTATTTATTATTATTACTTTTAAATATGCTATAGGGCACATGTGTTCACCAGAGACAGAGAGAGAGAAAGCAAGCCATCAGATCCAGGATTTGAACAACAGTTGGTGATGTGGAAGTCCAGTACCTTAACTACTATGCCACCTGCTGGCCCCATAACCATACTTTTACTGAAAAGAACCTGAAACTCAGAGAGGTTGATTGTCCATAAAAATTCATGTGGTTGAGCAGCATTTTAATTTAAGTCTGACTCAAAAACCTCTGTTCTCTCTGACGTAGTCATATGTATATCTCAAAAAAAAAAAGCTAATTAAGAATAATTAAAAGAAATGACATATGGTATGAAATTATCATAATACATGCATATAACCAATTTATGAAAACTTACTTCAGGACATACTTATCTGTACAACTGTGCTATAACTATACTGTGTGCTACATACATATTAACATGTAGCTCATATTAGTCTGCTATTACTTAGCTTCTAAAACCTAATATATTCTACATTCATTATGCCTGTGTCATTATTTCTTGATAGGTTTCAAGTAATTAGGAATACAAATTCTTCTGTCAGAGAAACATGAGTATTCTAAAGCCATGTCTCTTAATAACTAAATGTCTCTGAACGAGTTAATTTAATCCCCCCAAATCTCAGGGTTTTTAATGAACACAGTAAAGGTGATAATATTTTCCTCACAGGGCAGTTAAATGAATTGCAATAATATAGTTTAAGACCCAACATAATCATTCATTAAAAATTACTCAATTATAAAATTACTGCTTTTGAACATAAATCAAATGAGAATCAAAACTACAAATGTTATAACAAAATTAAGGGGTCAAAAATCAAAGGACTCCCTCTTGGCCGGAACCGCCATCTTCCAGTAATTAACCAAAATGACGAACACAAAGGGAAGCACCCGATACATATTCTCTAGGCCTTTTAGAAAATATGGAATGGTTCCTTTGGCAACATATATGCAAATCCACAAGAAAGGTGATATTGTAGACATCAAGTGAATGGGTACTGTTCAAAAAGGAATGCCCCACAAATGTTACCATGGCAAAACTGGAAAGTCTACAATGTTACCCGGCATGCTGTAGGCATTGTTGTGAACAAACAAGTTAAGGGCAAGATTCTTGCCAAGAGAATTAATGAGCATATTGAGCATATTAAACATTCTAAGAGCAGAGATAGCTTCCTAAAATGTATGAAGGAAAACGACCAGAAAAAGAAAGCCAAAGAAAAAGGTACCTGGGTTCAACTAAAGCGCCAGCCTACTCCACCCAAAGAAGCACACTTTGTGAAAACCAATGGAAAGGAGCCTGAGCTACTGGAACCTATTCCCTATGAATTCATGGCATGATGGGTGTTAAAAATAAACTAATCTGTGGTCTATAAAAAAAAAAAAATCAAAGGAGTTATTTGGCACTGCAAAGGCACAGGTCAATGATCAGAATTATACCAACTCCTAGAATTTTTGGACAGTCCCAAGGCTTTCTGTAATTCAGGGAAAATTCCTTTCTATGCAGCACAATGGAATTAACTATCACAATTATTAGATTTAACAGGAAATAGCAGCACCTCTTGCACAAGTTCATTTATAAACTGCCAAAACTTGTTAGAAAAATTAGGAAAAAAAAAAAAAAAGACTTAAGCGAAGCAATAATCAACATTTTAAAAATACATGTGATACCTGGGACCAGCAGTTAATGTAAGGCTACATCACTGGACTCCCATGTAGTCGACCACAGCTCAAGTCCTGGACCCGGTGGCTTAAACTCACACTGGGCACATATGTGTGCATGCCCAAGATCTCGAGAGGAGAATGGAGGAGAAGGGATTGCAGCGTGGCCATTCCCCTGGGGATTGATTTCTCGTTTCCTGTCTTTCTGTCGCTCTTTGTCATTCTGGCGAGCACACATACCCCATGGCAAAAAAAAAAAAAAACCCTCTCTTAAAAGAAAAACAAAAAACATCATGGCCAACTGCGCAGCTCGAGTTCTGGACTCAGAAGCTTGAGAAACATGTCAGGCATGTGTATATGCTATGCATACCCAAAATATTCCAAAAGGAGAAATGAAGAAGGGATTGTAATAGACTATTCCCCATGGGAGTGCTCTCTCATCCACCCTCTCTCTTGTCTGTCTCCGAAAAGCACATACATTCTTTAGCCAAAAAAAAAAAAAAAAGTCATCTTTAATGTGGAAATCTAAAAGGGTCCTAGGGCCAGCAGACAGCATAGCAGTTACATCACTGCACTCCCACATGGCCAACCACAGAGTCCCAGACCTGGTGTCTTGAAACTCATGCCAGGCACATGTGCATGTGCCCAAAATCCTGAGAGGAGAATGGAGGAGAAAGGATTAAGGCATGGCCATCTCCCCTAGGAGGTTAATTCCACATCTTCCCTCTCACTGTCTCTGTCTCTGCCTCTCTCTGGCAAGTGAGCACATACGTACTCTAAGGCAAAACTCTCTACAAAAAAAGAAGTAAAAGGGTCCTAAGATATGCTTTGAATTTCATCTCCTTAAAGGCTGAAATTTCTCCACTGATGTATCAACACTTAAGAAAGCGGAATGCACACTTTTTCATAAGACAAAGTTTCTTTTTGGATGAGTCTATTTATAATTTTTGACATTTTTAATTCTCCAAACTAAAATTATGAGAATTCAGAGCAAATCCTTAGGAAATATTACCCATTATGTATGATTTATTATCTACCTCCAATAATCTATGTGGTAGCCAAAGATATATGTTATAATACCTTTGCAAATTTTCTTATAAAAAATAGAATTCTGGGCCAACCCACGGCCTGGTAGTTAAGCTGCTGGATCCCACAAGGCTGACGGCATGGTTCAAGTCCCAGACCTGGCAGCTTGAGAAACATATCAGACATATGGTGCTTGCATGCCCCAAAAAAGGGAGCAGTAGAGGGGAGAAAAGAGTGCAGGGGACTATGCCCTATGGGGAGAGTTTTCTCACTTTTCCTTCCTGTCTCTCTTCAGCCAATGCATATGCTCTCTGGCAAATCAAATTAAAACAAAACAAAATCAGAATTAATCAGATGTATTTCCCAAGAAGAGAAACATGTTACATTCCTTTCACCATTATTTCCCTTTAAACCAGAGAAACTTAATTTCCAATGGCTGCACTCAGTCTATTCTGTACCCTAAAATAATTACCCTAAGGTCCAAAGACAATTTTTCAGTTCTGACAGGCAACGAGATATAAGACTATGTGTTGGTGAGCTGAAGAATTTGATAACACTTTTCAAAGGTACTGGGCCTTAAGTCTGCTATTCTTGATTTGGAGAAATCTAGACTGTATTTCTCAATCAAAGCTGCCTAAATCAAACAAGCAGTGTGGTCAGGTACTTTCAGGATGACCCATCACCAAACAAGAGAGCCAAAGAAAGTAATGGAAACAACTTTGCAGCAAATGGACCTAAAGATACTTCTGAAGTACTAATGGTGTATATACAATATTACTCTTGATGGACCCATCATCATACACCAGAGACATGATTTTCTAGTTCTCAAATCATATCACACAGTGTCTTTTTTCTTCAGAACAGGAGCACAGGTATCCTTAGCAGAATAACAACAGTACCTTAAAAATACAAATGAAGTTCAAACTCTAAAATGAAGTGACTTGCTCAAGGACACTTAGAAAAACAGGAAAAGAACTACGAGTCTGACCCATGTCCTTCTACACATGATAACACATCTATCACAAAGTCATATATTGTTCTTTTCAAAATTAGGTAGCCAGAACATTATGTTATGTGCTAATATTAAGTCATCTGAGATCCTGAAAGGGAAATAATTCTGAGATTTATCCTAACTTATATATAAATTCTACTTTTGTTAACAGCTTAATAAAATCCATCACACCAACACAACTTTTCTGATCCATTAAATTTCCAAAATAAATCCTATCCTCTCACTAAAAGTTTAATATTTTGATTCAGGATTTAATTATAACTGATAAAACAGCCAATTTGTATACTATCTTGACGATCAAATCTTTACTGTCATCATTTTGTACTGGTTACCTTTGCGGAGTTTGCTGACTGACAATGGCGTTCGCAGTCTCCCTCAGATAAACCTCCCAATCTGTCTCAGGAATTTCTTGATCTATGGTAAAAGGATACCTACACAACAACAACAAAAAGAACACAATAAATGAAATGGAAGGCTGTTTCTGTCCCAGAATGTTTTCCTGCAGTAACTGACCATTCCACTCACTGTTGCACTCTGCAGGCTTCACACATAAGTAGGGCTTTTCTAAGATTTCTGCAGGACTTCTCTGCAAGCCTATGAGCCAACTGTGAGGGAAGATTCAGACCTTCTTTCTTGCACACAGTAGATAACACATGGCAAATCTATAGATAAAAATAACAAAAATAAGCAACCTGTTAAAAAGCACATTGAGACCATTTCTGTTGACAACAAACTTATAGGACTTTTTATCTGTATTAATCCCAGCATTTTTACAAAAGAAGCTTATGATAAAGGTACTTTCCAACTCGGCATCTAACACAACATCATAAATTACTTCTACTTTGTATAAAATCTCCCAAACTCTATTAACAGCAAGAAAGCTATTTACAGTGAGAAATTAGAATTTTTATGGATGGCTCTTGTGAATGCTAAATAAAAAACACAATGTTGCTTAGACTAACTTTGATTCCTTCCCTAGGGACAGCATCATCTGCTTGCAAAATCTATTTCCTCTACATTCCAATATCCTCCTACCGTCAATTAAATCTGCTTGAGGAAGAAAATAAATAACTAATCCTTATCTACTGTAGTAGAATTCATAAAACCTTCCTTTTTATGGTAAAGATGGTTTAAAGAGAAGAACACTTTCTGTGTATTGGTATCTGGTGTTTACTACCAGATATGTCAGCTTGCACATCTACTAATGGTTTGTTTCTGGGTCCACAGCAGTTCTTGAATTACTGATATGCTTCATTATGTTTATACAAAAATAAATGTGACATGGACGTACACACAGTACTCAGAAACTGAACTGAATTTATTTTTTTATAAAGTTTAACTTGACTTACATCTTCGATACTGGGAGCAGGCACACGAACTGCTAGACACCTACTACGAATAGGTGGTATCACTTTAGATGTAGAATTGCAGCACAAGATCAACCTGCAGGTAGACATGTACTTTTCCATGGTTCTACGCAAGGCATGTTGAGCATCTTTGGTGAGTTTGTCAACTTCGGTCAATAATACCACTGAGTCAAAGAGAAACAAAACAAACTTTGAGTTTAGTCAAACTTTAACATGTCTCCTTTTCTTCCTCATTATTTAGAGTAAAATCCTAAATAACAAGCTTGATATTCTACCCTCCCCTTTGGCAAGAGCAAGCTAACATTATAGATACAGCAAAAAATACTTCAATTTTTATTTTTAAAACAATTTATAATAAAACAAGACTAAGAAACACTAGACTAAATAAAGTTAAAAAGGTTATTTTTTGCAGAATTCATTTCAGACTTTATTATTTACATGTAATAAAGATTAGCTAATCGAGGATGTACTATGTTGCATTTCCCCAAAATATTTTATCTTGAGAACACATTTCTGTGGAACTTCTTACATCTATAACCTTATATTCTTTTTTTTGGAGAGGTAGCTTTTTTCTTTTTGCTATAAGGTATGTGCGCTCACCAGACAGACGGAGAGAGACAGAGACACAGAAAGCGAGAAATCACCCCCACGGGGGGGATGGCCATGCTGCAATCCCTTCTCTTCCATTCTCCTCTAGGGATCGCGGGCACGCACACGTGCCCGGCATGAGTTTAAGCCACCGGTTCCAGGACTCGAACCATGGTTGACTACATGGGAGTCCAGTGACTTAGCCATTACGCTAACTGCTGGTCCCTAAAATCTTATATTCTAAGAACATATTTTAGAAAACAGTGATATAGGGACCAGCAGTTAGCGTAATGGCTATGTCGCTGGACTCCCATGTGGTCGATTGCGGTTCGAGTCCTGGACCTGGTGGCTTAAGCTCACGCCGGGCGCGTGTGCGTGCCCAAGATCCCGAGAGGAGAATGGAGGAGAAAGGATTGCAGCATGGCCATCGCCCCTGAGGGGTGATTTCTTGCTTTCTGTCTCTCTGTCTATCTGGCACACGCGCCCTATGGCAAGGACCGCTCCAAAAGAAAAAAAAAAAAAGAAAACATTGATACAAGAGATGTAGCCAACAGACATAAAGACATCTGGCCACTGTAGAAGAAAGATTCTACCTGGCCACAATCAAGGCTTGGACTTGAAGTAATTAAGGAATAATTTGTGGTCAGGTACTGAAATCAGCTATTGTAATATTTCATTATAGTAGGAATTATTTCTAAATGATGACAACAGCTGAGTATGGCATTTAAACTCCCTATAAAACCAAAATGAACTAAATATGTTAATACCAAAGATATCTAGACAATATCTACACCAAAACTAAATGACATGCTTTATTTAAGAATCTTCAATATGGTGTTAGTAGGTGGCATAGTGGTTAAGGTGCTGGACTCTTATGTGATCAACCAGGGTCTGAGTCTAGACCTAGTGGCTTAGAAATCAAGCCAAGTGTGTGTGCATCCAAAATCCTGAGAGGAGAATAAAGAAGAAGAGATTGTCGTGTGGCCATTCCCCCTGAGGGGTGATTCTCACTCTGTCTCTCTTGCAAGTGTACAGGTTCTGTAGTAAAAATCTTTCAAAAACGAAAACAACAAAAAGAAACCTTCAATATGAACAGTAATAATAAGTAACTAAAACTGAAAAGATGTAGACAGCATCAGCATCTGCATGGGAGGAAGTGGCAGGAATCCAGTAGGATTCTGATAGTCATTAATATATGAAAGCCCTCCAATTGCCCACAGGATCAGAGTGGAAAGTATCCACCATCAAACTGAAAGCAGTAGTCACAATTAGGAGGGAGAGACTATAAAGCTCAATTTGTGGGTGTGAGCAAGGGGGCCCTGATGCTGTAAGGTTGACAGAGCAGTCAACTCAATGCTCTGCAATGGAGGGATGGGAGGGCAACAAAAAAAATGGAAGCAGAATTCAAACTGAAATAGGAAAAAGAAAGACATAAGAAAGAATCCCAATAAAAGCAGATAAGTTGGGGAACATGGGTCATATATTTTATCATTTTGTAAAACAAAACAGTGATCAGCTCCAGAGTCTTAAAACTCTTTGACCTTCCCTTCTAACGAGCACAGGAAAACTCTTTTCACTTTAAAATAAATGGCAAACAGAAAACTGAAAGTACATGATTATCAGAAACAGGAGTAGATGAGCAGAATAACATCTCTATGGGTATAGAAGCATCCAAGTATTTCCTAAATTTTTACTTAACTATTAGTTATTGCTCCTTAACAGTAAACTTAATGTAAAAACATTTAGGTCTTTCGATAATGCTAATCCAATTATAATTGGATCATAGCTATTAAAAATATTTCTAATAATTTCAGTGACTCTAAAATATTTTACTTATAAAGTTTTATAACTGTAATTAGATGCTATTAGTTTTGATACAAAAGTTAACCAATTTCTTTCCTTTTTGTAAGTTTATTTCTTTCTTTCATGACAGAGAAAGAGAGACATGCTCCCACAGAGCCTTCATGTTGCAATCTACCTACAGGTTCAGCTGGCCTGGATTACAGCCATGCCTGACACATAAAGGGAGGCCTTGGGACTCAAACCCAGGACCTTCCCATCTGATCTGGCATCACAAAGTTTTGTATTATCACTGTGTCACCAGCCTGCCCTATATTTCTTATAATAGCAAACAGATCTGCAACAAAAGATCTTGTAAGATCTTTTCTTATAACAAAAGATTAAGAACATAATCCTTTCTAAATATAAATTTACGTATGTGTGTGTTTTGTTTTGTGTAGTGTAGTGATGTTGGAAATAGTGACTGAGTAGTAACTGGTAGGCAGAAAACAGCAGCATGTTTTTAAAAGGATTAATGTATCATGATCAAGCAAGGTTTACTTCAAAAATGTGAAACAATTTTAATACTGGAAAATCCAGTAATAAAACTTACAATGGTAACAGAACTTAGGGGGAAAAAAAAATCAAGGCCAGCTCCGTAGCATGGCATAATGCACTGTTCAAGAGAAACCCAATCCCACATGATGGCCATGGTTTGAATCCCTGGCATGGTCAGGCTAAAATATGCTGGGCATGTATATAAATGCCCAAGATGCAGCTGGCTAGAGAACTGGGGGAATGAGGACTGCAATATGGCAGGCTCTATGGAGGCTGATCACCTTTCTCTCTCTCTTTCTCTCTCATGCACATGCATAAACTCTGTCATGGAAAAAAAAAGAAGAAAAATTATAAAACCATATGCATGGGCATAGAAGACCACTAGAAAAAACTGAATACACATTTGTATTAGAATTGAATACTACCTTATCATAATCAAATATCCAATTAGAGACCGTCATGACATGAATGTACACTATCTCTATTACTATTTAGCACTATATTGGAGATACTGGCCAACATAATTACAAGTTTCTTGTTTTTTTGTTTTGTTTTGTTTTGTTTTTGTTTTAAAGAGATTTTTGTCTTAGGGCCTGTGCACTCACCAGAGAGTGAGCAAGACAGAGACAGTGAGAAAGAAAGTGAGAAATCACTACCACCCCCCCACGGGTGATGGCCACACCACAATCCCCTTCTTCCAGGATCTTGGGCACAAGCGCACACCTGCCTAGCATGACTTTTTTTTTTTTCTCTGCTCTCCCAAAGCTTATGGTTTACTTAGCAGCCCAAGGCATCATTTCAAGCCACCGGTCTGGGACTCAAATTGCAGCTGCCCATGTGGGAGTCCAGTGACATAAACACGATGCCATCTGTTGGTCCCCAAGAGTAAGTATTTTGAGACAAACTGGAAAGGAAAAGAACTGTCTCTATTTATAGATAATATGAATACATATCTGAAAGACCCAAAAGAAACTATGGAAAGACTACGAAAATATTAAGAAAATTTTGTAATACAACAAGATATAAAATTAAGATGTAATTGTTTCATACGTGTATGTATGTATATATGTATGTGTGTGTGTGTGTGTGTGTGTATGTGTGTGTGTATAAAATAAAAGTAGAAAATAGATCCCATTTATGGTAGCAAAAAATAAATTCATAAATATAAACTAATTCTGAAATAGAGACTGAAGAGCAAAGATAAAAATGGGCAGAGAATATACATAAACAGTTCACAAAACTACAAAAATGAACAACGAACAAAAGAAAAAATAATCATACTCACTAAAGAAAAATAAAAAATCACTCAAATTGACAAAGATTAAAAATAATTATCTGTGGTGCTGACAAATAATTGTCAAAAAGAAATAGGCACTTCTCAACACTCTCTTTCTCCTATCTCAATTGAGGTAGCAATTCTTCCCTGAGAGAGGAAGAATTTGGCAAAATATATCAAAAGTATTAAATGTTGGCCTATTTGCTATCACAAAATCTCAGGGTTATATACAGGGTTAGCTGGTCGTGTGGTGGTTAAGGAGTTCACTGGATCCCACATGGCTGATTATGCAGTTCAAGTCCCAGACTGAGTGGACTAGAAAACTATACCAGGTGCATGTGCATGCATGCCCAAGATCCCAAAAGGAGAATGGAGGAAAAAGATTGTGGCATGGCCACTCCCTGCAAGAAGGTACTTTCTTATTTTCTTTCCCCCACCCCAGAAGTGGGAGCACAGACTCTCTGGACAATTAATACATATGCATAGAAAAATACTGGATGGTAAAGACCAAATGATTAAAATTGTTCTCTCTGGATGATAGGATTATATATGATTTTCTTTGTTTTTGCTTATCTAAATATTTGATAAGATATAACTTTGGTCATAAACACAATTATTTTAAAAATCACATAATTTATTTTAAAATAAAATGTTATTTTATTTTCCACCTTGGTCTAAAACATCAAATAGGTGGCACAAATATTGCTCTTTCCCACAAAATTCAATTCTAGTAGATAATTAAAACGCTCATAAGCAAAGAGATCATGCCCTTTTTGTTCACTTTTATAACTCCAAAAAGAAGCATTAATGCTTGGCAGCCTAATAAAAAGAAATCTTTTTATCACATACCTTTAAAATCTCTTTGAGAATTTGTTTCAAGTTGCTGTGATTGTGCTACTGTTTTCAACATCTCCTGAATTACCACTCGGTCACTATTTCCAGCATCACTACACAAAACAAAAACAATGGCATATATATAAACATTTAGAAAGTAGTATGCTCACATTCCTTAATTTGTTCCTATAAGAAAAATGTAGAAGAGATGGTTTAAATTTTAATCAAAATTAACCACACTTAATTACAATTATAAACTTTTACCTTAAGTGAAAAGTTACAGGGTCATTAAAACTCCTAACAATATCTGAATTTGATTACATCATTAAAAATGCTAAACTACGGTTAGCTCACAAATGAGGGTAAAATAATCAACTTTATTTTCCTAAAGAGTCATTCTGTTTTACCCAACTTGCTATTATTAAATGAATATACTTGGTATACTTCTTTTTAGTGATTATTTTCCTCATCAAATATCCTAAACATATCCTATTTGTCAATGGCAGGGGTCCCTAATCCCTGGACCCAGACTAGTAGCAGTTCATGGTCCATTAGGAACAGGGCTGCATGGCAGGTGGTGAGTGGTAGGCACATGAGGGAAGCTTCATCTGTATTTTCTACACAGTTCCCGATCACTCACATTATTGCCCAAGCTCTGCCTTCTGTCAGATCAGTGGAGGCATTAGATTCTCAGAGGAGCATGAACCCTATTGTGAATTATGCAGGCCAGGGATCTAGGTTGCCTATTCATTGTGTACTCCATGTGAGATTCAAATGCCTGATGATGAGAGGTGGAGCTGAGGAAGTAATACTAGCACTGAGGAGTACCTGCAAATACTGATTAAATACTGATTAGCAGAGAGGTTTGACTACAGAGACCATAAGAAATCAACTGCTTGCAAACTCATGTCAAAACCCTATAAACAAGTGGCAACAAACAATTAAGCTGCATCTGGTGATAAGGTTTACAGTGAAAACTCAGATGTACTTAAACTGTACAGCTACAACTGGTGACAAGCATTAAGTCAGAATCTGACTCTTACTTTAGCCCATGAGTGGCTCACGCATTATTTTATTTACCACTTCCACACGCACCTCTTTCCTGGACTGCACACTTGTCTCAGTCTTGTTTTTGGTAAGCCTACAAGCTATTCTTAGCCAAAATAAGTAAAAAACAAACATCACTGGAAAGATTCTTTGAAAAGGGGCAAACACCCAATGATGAGATAGCCAACAAAAAGAAAGTTACATTGAAAAGAAAATACAGAGAGTTCTACTTAAATTATGGGCTCATTACAACAGCTGATTCAAACTATCCAAGCCCACTTTGTATAACTGCAGTGACTGGCTATCCAATGAAGCCATGAAACCTTCAAAACTGTTCTGCTATATGGAGATCAAACACCCTGCATTAAAAGACAAGCTTTGTAGTTTTTCAAAAGAAAAAAGTATAAACACAAAGAACAAAAGAAATTATTGAAAGACACTTCATCAAATGTGTCTGTAGTGAGAGCATCATTCTTGGTGGCTAACAACATCATTAATGCTAAGGAGCCCTTTACTGTTAGTGGAGAGTTGATCCTGCCTGCTGCTGGGGACATTTGCTGTGAATTCTTAGGAGAGGCTACAGTTCAAAAGGTGGCATGTGTTCCTCTTTCAGTTAGCACTGCTACTAGACAAATTGATGAAACAGCAGAGGATACTGAGGCACAAATGCTAGAACTAGAGAGTTATCATGGTATGCAATCCAGGTTGACGGGTCTACCAATGGTGACAACAAGGCTACGATGCTTGCTTTTCTGTGATTTATTTTTCAGGAGGATGTGCATGAGGATATGTTATGTGCGCTTTGGTTGCCAACCAACAACACAGCTGAAGAACTATTCAAGCCTTTAAATGATCACATATCAACAAAACAGAATTGGTTATTTTGTGTCATAATATGCACAAAATGGCTGCCATGTCTAGACTGCTTTCTGAATTACTACTTGGGTCAAAGTGGTCACTTCTGAAAGGTGACATGTGAGTCTATGCACTGTGTCATCCATAGAGAAATGCCAGCTAGATGAAAAATGTCACCTGAATTTAACAACATTCTGCAGACATGATTAAAATTATCCACCATGTTAAAGTACATGCCCTTGGGACCAGCAGTTAGTATAATGGCTATGTCGCTGGACTCCCATGTAGTCGACCACAGTTCGAGTCCTGGATCCGGTGGCTTAAACTCACGCCTGGCGAAGGTGGATGTGTGGCCAAGATCCCGAGAGGAGAATGGAGGAGAAGAGATTGTGGCGTGGCCATCCCCCGGGGGAGGGGGGGTTTTCTCATTTTCTGTCTCTCTGTCTGTCTCTTTCTGGCAAGCGCACACTCTCTATAGCAAAAACTTCTCCCCCCCGCCCCCCCAAAAAAAGCACATGCCCTTAACTCACATCTATTCAGGCAGCTCTGTGAGGACATGGACACACAGCACGTCTTCTCTTATACACAGAAAGAGATGGCTTTCTTATTATTTTGAGACATTTTTGCTACAGGGCATATGGGCTCACCAAAGAGACAGAGACAGAAATTGAGAGATCACCCCCCAGGAGGTGAAGGTCACGTCACAATCCTTTCTCTTTCATTTTCCTCTTGGGTCTTGGGCAGCATGCACATGCACCTGGGATGAGTTTCAAGCCGCCAGGTCTGGGAATCGAACTGCAGCTGGCCTAGTGGGAGTCCAACACCTTAGCTACTACACTACCTGCTGGCACTTGAGATCACTGGCCAGTATATGAGTTACAAGAGTCACTCCAGAGATTTTAGAAAAACAGTCTTCACTGGCAGCATATTTCAGTGGCACAGAATGGGTCATAACACTTCTTACTTGTATGACATTCAACAAATTCAAACTGTCACCTCAGGAGAGAATGATAACTGTATTCAAGCTGGCAAATAAAATAGCTGCATTCAAAGCCAAACTGGAATTATGGGGACAAGACATGAACATTGGGATTTTTGATATTTCGAACATTAGCAGAGATTTTGAAAGAGACTGAGTCAGGACCTTTCTCTAAGCTGGTGCATGATCACCTATCTCGGCTTTCAAAAGTCTGACCAGGGTCAGCCAGTGGTGTGGTGGTTAAAGCATTGGATTCCCACATAGGCAACTTCAGTTCAAGTCCCAGATCTGGCAGCTTACTTTCTCACTTTCTTTTTCTCTCTCTGATGAGCACACATGCCCTATAGCAAGTTAAAAAATAATAATAAATAAAGTGAAATAAGTAATTCTTTAAAAAAAGAAAATGTTTGAATCACAAAATACTTCCAAACTGAGAAGGAATGGATTAGCAACCCATTTCTGAATAAGCCGGGTGCATCGACTTTGTTCACACTAGAAGAGGATCAACCGCTTGAGATCACAAATGGCAGTACCCTTAAAAGTATCTCTGAGACAGGGACCAGCAGTTAGTATAATGGCTATGTCGCTGGACTCCCACATAGTCGACCGTGGTTCGAGTCCTAGACCCGGTGGCTTAAACTCACGCCGGGCGTGTGTGCATGCGTGCCCAAGAGCCCGAGAGGAGAATGGAGGAGAAGAGATTGTGGTGTGGTCATCCCATCTGGGGGGTGATTTCTCGCTTTCTGTCTCTCTGTCTCTCTCTGTCCGTCTGGCGAGCGCACGCACCCTATGGCAAAAACCTTTCAAAAAACAAGAAAAAAAAAAGTATCTCTGAGACAACTTCAAATTTCCTTATTATCTCATTATATATTATAATGCATCAGTAATGGAAATAAAGCACACAATAAATGTAATACGCTTGAATTATCACAAAATCATCGCCCCTCCACTTCCAACCTCTGTCTTCCCTGGCCCTAATCCGTGGAAAAATTGTATTCCACAAAAACTAGTCCCTGTTGCCAAAAAGGTTGGGACCACTGGTCTATCTAATTAACACTCTCTTTACTTTCGTGGTCAGATCCTTTCTCACCAACTTTATTTCCCTTTCTTTTTTATGACATACTTACGGAAAATAAAAACCTGTTAGGATTGTTTTAAGAACTAAATATAATAATCCATGTAAACCTTCCTCACACAGTGCCTGCTACTGAGTACCACAGACACTTTAACTTAAACAGTATTCATTTTTTATCCAGAGTAGATGCCTGGAAAATGTCAACAGTACCACCCTATAAATGAAGGGTCTTCAAAAAGGTCACAGAAAATACATATTGTAAAAAACAACAACAAAACATGAATTTCAAAATTTTTGTACCAAATTAAACTCATACTTCCTCTTTTTTCATCAACTTTTTGAAGTCCCCACATATACATGCTATGTTTTTCCTGTATATGTACCTATGATAGAGTCTAATTTATAAATTAGGCAGTCAGAGATTAACAATGACTAGTAATAAAACAAAATTAGTATAACAATAAATTGTGCTAAAAGTTATGTGAATGTGCTCTCTCTCAAAATATTTTACTGCATGTAGGTTAGGCAGTGGCACAGCAGAAAGGCATTGCTCTGCAAAGTTGACCCACATGAGAAGGTTCTGGGTTCACATCTAGGGATTACCCTGAGTATACCAGTTGTGCACTTGCTCATGATCCACAACTGGCAGAGGTTGGAGGTAGATCATCGAGTGAAGACCCTGTTGAGGGTCTCTGTCTCTGTCTTTCTGTGTCTCTCTTACTCACAAAAGAAATAAATCTGAAAAAAACCTTATTGTAACTGTATACACTGTATTCACCTGTTTTCAGACCCAGATCATGGGTAACTGAAACCAAGGAAAGCAAAACCATGGATAAAAGTGCACAACTGAGCAGCAGCAGATGGTATGGATGCATAGCCTGCTCCATGGGTCAAGTCTCAGACCTGTTGGCTTGAAAAATATGTCCAGCATGTATGTGCAAGAGCTCAAAATCCTGAGAGAATGGAAGAGAAAGGACTACAGCATAGCCATAACCCTTGGGGGGTGATTTTTCCCTCTCTCTCTCTCTCTCAGTCTCTGTCTCTCTCTCCAGAGAGTACACATGCCCTGTACTGAACTAAAAAAAAAAGGGGGGTGGAGGACAACTGCAACTTTATTCCTCATGCTTCTTCAGTCTCCTCAGTCTTCTTAAAAAGGACATTTACTGGGAACCAGCAGTTAGCGTAATGGCTATGTCGCGGGATTCCCATGTAGTTGACCGCGGTTTGCATCCCGGACCCGGTGGCTTAAAACTCACGCCGGGTGTGTGTGCGGACGTGCCCAAGATCCCGAGAGGAGAATGGAGGAGAAGGGACTGTGGCGTGACCATCCCCTCTGGGGGGTGATTTCTCGCTTTCTGTCTCTATGTCTCTCTCTGTCTGGCAAGCGCACGAGCCCTATAGCAAAAACCTCTCCAAAAAAAAAAAAAAAGGACATTTACTCTGTGCCATTGCCCATAAAGTTGTCTTTGCCTGAAAATATCCTTCTGTTTTCCTTTAAGACATACTGGGCCCCATAGAACCTGGAAACCTTACACAATTTAGCTCCCTCAAACCTTCTAAGACCACTTGGTATTTAACTGCTACTGAATGAGTTTTCAGTACCTCATAAACAATACCCTAATCTTATTATTTCATAATACTTAATACAGACATTACTTGGTAGACTATTATAATACCCCCAAATCAGGAAACAGGCACAACGGAGTAACAAATACTGACAGCCTGAACTTGGTTTCTGAAATAGTCACTGAAGACATTAAAAAAATTTTAGATACATTTTGCTCATCAGTACTGAGTAAGTCAATATAATTTAACAAAAACAATGAGTTCCATAGAGCAAGAAAACTTAAATATGTTGCTGAAATCATCTGACAGAAAAGACAAAGTGGGGGAAGGCTTTAGGATCCCTATTTCAAACAGGGAAACTCACTTTAATCTGTTTTATATACTGTGCTTCCATATGTATAATTTTACTTACAAAAAAAAGGTTCTAATTTTTAAAAATTTTAAATACTTTTCTGAAAATGGTTCTTTTTTATAATAGCAACTTACCTGGGATTAACTTCAAGGTGGTAATTACTTGCAATAGTGCTGATTTCAATTTTTTTTTTAGATGGAGTCTGTGGATTAAAAAAAAAAAAGTTTTATAAAAACATTTATTTATGGGCTATTTCTCATCTTGTATTTTCATTGGTTTTTCTTTTATGATATAAACAATTTGTGCTTCTTAAAACAAACAAAAAAAACCCACTTGAGATAACCATTACCACTATCAATGTTTTAACTTCATTAACCCCATTTTTTTCTTTTTAAAAATAATTTATTAAACTTTTTTATTATTATTTTTTCAATTTGCTATAGGATACATGTGCTCACTAGAGAGAAAAAGAGCAGAAAGAGAGGGGAAATAAGAAAGCAAGCTGCCAGGTCCGGGACTCAAACCACAATTGGCGAAGTGGAAGTCCAGTGCCTTAACCACCACACCACCTGCTGGCCCCTCAATTATTTTCTTAATGAAAGAGAAACATGTTTTTATATAAATTGAATCATATCACACATCCTGTTTTATTAGAATTACTTTTTTTTCCATACATCCAAAAATTCTCAACTGTCCCAAATTATCAGTGAATCATCACTGTAAACAATTTGCATATATTCCTTCAGGGCATCAACACAAAAAGAAACACATACAAAAATATTTATATACAGTGTCAATGTTTCTTTTAAAAGATTAAAATTGGGGGAAGGGTACATGTATGTGCACAAGCCAGTTTGCTTTTCAAGAAATTCTAATAATTCACTTTTTCACTGGCAACAAATATCCTTCTCCAACATTCTCTATCAATAGGTTTTATTGTGCCTTTCGATTTTTTGCAAATTTGGTGAATATATAACAAACTCACACTACCTATCACCAAGGTCAAACATCTCTACAGAGGTTTAATGGCCACTTTTATTTCTGTCCTGTGACTATTCATTATTCAGTTTTCTAAGGTTATGTGTCTTTCAGTTTTCAATTTTTAAAATCTCTTATCTAACCCATTCTTTTAAAATATTTTGTAAAAATCTTTCCTTTTTTATTGATTTTATGTGTTATCTTTTGTAATATAAACTGTTTCTCCTATAGCTTCTGTGTTTTCCACTAAAAGGTGTTTTTGACCCAAACATCATACAGACTAAGAAACTTTATTTTTCTAAGATAGTGTTTCATTTTAACATTTACGTCTTTAACCCATGTGGTATTCATCCTTTCAGACTGCAAGTCATAGGGATTCAAGTTCATTTGCCTTCAGATAAATAACTAGTTAGGTTGGCACATTTTGCTTGGTTCATCTTTTTCTATTCATTTGAAATAAACCCTTCATCCTATTTCTGGACTCTGTTCAGTTTCTGGTCTAAACTCCATCCCCACACCAATGTAATATTGTTGTGATTACCACAGCCTAACAATATGATCTACTAACTGGTAACAAGTCTCACTTCACTAACCTAATTTTTCATAATTACTTTAGCTAGTCTCAGAAATGGATTCTCCCATATAGATTTTAAGATTATTTCATAAACACACACATACCCCCCACTTGAATTTAACTGAAATTTCAGTAAAATTTATACTGTAAGTTAAGGAGAATAGATACTTTAAATATTAAGCCTCCCATTTGAGGGCATGTTACATGTTTTGATCAGCTCTTATTTTTTGTCTTTCTATAAAATATTTCAGTTTTCTTCCTTTGGATCCCATATCTTTCTTGCTAAATCACTCTCTGTTTATTTTATAAGAATTTCTATCAAGAGGGACCAGCAGATAGTGTAATGGTAACATTGCTGTACTCCTATGCAGTTGACCAGGATTTGAGTCCCAGACCAGGTGGCTTAAAACTCACACCATGCACGTGTGCGTGTGTGCCCAAGGTCCTGAGAGGATAATGGAGAGGGGACTGTGGCATGGCCATCCCCCCTGGGGGGTAATTTCTTGTTTTCTGTCTCTCTGTCTCCCTCTGTCTGTCTGGCAAGCACATACGCCCTATAGCAAAAATCTCTCTCAAAAAAAAAAAAAAAAAAAAAAAAAGAATTACAACCAAGAGGTACCAATGGTATCTCCAACTCACTCCATTTAAACATAAGCTAATCAACATTAGCCTAAAACCCAGTTATCCTCCTGGATATTCTACTAATAGCATTACCATCTACTTTAAGCAAACAATTTTTTTTAATGTCTAACATAAACATTCCATCAGGGGATTTGAAGGATATAAAAATGAATTATTACATGTTCCCTACATGACTTCAAAAAAATTATTTTTGTCAAAGTAGTGTATAAAAACTATAATCAAAATAAAATAATTACTATAAAAAAGTATAAACTACAGGTTACAGAAGAAAAAAAACAGTACTAATGGAGTATAAAGAGGTACTTTAGAGAGGAGACAATTTACCTAAAATTTATATACTGTCCATAAGGAAAGAACATAAAAATGCACTATGTGGTATGGGAAGTTTCTCAACACCCAAAGCCTCAAGCCTTCTTTCCTAGTAGTTTCCAGTCTTCAGCATGTTGCTTGATGACACCTTTAGTATTTTTCTCAAAATCATTTCCTCTTTCCATTCCCTTTATTGTTTCCAGAACAATGAACTTTTGAAACTTGAGTTCTAGTTACAGCTGAGACGTTTTCCTATGAAGTAATCTGAAATGGATTGCATCCTCTATATTTTATTCAAAATCTCCTGTTGCTTATATTTCCTTTGTAATAAAAGTAACTTTGACCTGGTTATAAGAGTTAGGTCTATAAATGAGTAGCTTTCAATCCTGCGAATCAGAATTACCCATGAAATTGTTATTTAAATTATACATGAGGCAGCAAATGGAGACCAGGTGGATACATACATGACTAGGACTGAAAATCTCTGCCAGAAATATTTAGAGGCCTCAAACTGAAATGCTTACTGTGATGGATTGATGTTCAATTCTTAATTTTTCCACTCCAACCCCATACAGTTCACGTAGAATACACATAATTCTTGTCTTTTTCCCAGCACCTGAAGGTCCATACACTAGCAAATGAGGAAAGTCACCACATTGCACCTGGAAAGAAAAGAACAAGGCATTTTTCTAGTCAAACGGAACTATTCAAGGTAGAACCAAATGACCTTTTAATTATAAACATTTTCTGCATCTACCTAAGTAATTCCAAATTCAAAAGTATGTGTATTTTTTAAAGTGTTTGAGTGTTCTCTTGGCACTAATTTATATAACATACACCTAGCATAACACATATGAGATAAAACACTAAATGCTAAAAAGCAGGAACTCCCAGACCTGGCTATGAGAAATCTAGGGAACTTTATAAAACAAAAAGCTTCGCTGATTACTGAGTCCCACCATCCATGAAATTAGGATTTCATACCTCCAAGATTGATCCTGTCTTAATTTAGACTCCTAGAAACAGAACATGTAATAAGAATTGACTGCAGTTATTTGGGATATAAAGAAAAACTTTTCAGGAGAGTGGGGATGCAAAATAAGAAAACTATGGAAACCAGTAACAGTGTGTCATCAAGTTAAATACCACTCTAGGAAAGTGGAGAAACTCCTAAAGCCAGCATAAAAATACACTGCGGTGTATCAGTCCTCTGTTGAAGCATGCTTAGAAAGTGGTAGGGGGAAAAAGAAGACATTAATTTCCAGTCATTTCAAGTCTGAATACGGGTGTCAACAAGAGAAAATATGACAAGTACCATACAGAGGTAGGAAGCTGGAAGTCAGTTTGTGTGCATTCACAATTTAATAGCAAGAGAGTTGGGCATGGTACTGATACTGTGTGCTGCATTATTACAGTACAAGATTGCATGTTTTTATAAAGTTTCTTAGGTGGTTGTGTTGATAGCTCAAGTTTAGGAACTATAAAGTGCTATGAAGGCTATAAAGATGACTAGAACACAGACCTCAGGTGTAGAAAATCTTGTGACATGAAGTTGTATATACAACCACTGTAGAGAAAATGAGATAAATATCTTAACAGAGGGGTTTTTATCAGGGAATTTTAACACCTTGAAAACTCATCTGTCTCTGGCATTAAAAAAGAGAAGTCTCAAGGCAAGTAACTACTCGCCTAATATAGTGCCTAGAAAATAGATGCTCCACAAATGCTTGCTTGCCTTTGTTTTCAAAACTTCAAGCTAACTAAAAGTAAGGTTAGTGCTTTAAAATGTTTCATAGTGTGGGACCAGGAGATGGTGTAATGGTTACGTCACTGGACTACCCCATACTTGACCACAGTTCGAGTCACGGTGTCTGTGTGTGTGCCCAAAATCCTGGGAGAAGAACCGAGAAGGGATTGCAGTGTGGCCATCCCCTCTGGGGGTTGACTTCTCACTTTCTATCTCTCTCGGAGCAAGCGCGCATGCCCTATAACAAAAATCTCTCTCTTAAAAAAAAAAAAGTTTCATAGTTGGACCAACAGTTAGCATAATGGCTATATTGCTGGACTCCCATGTAGTTGACAGCGGTTCGTGTCCTGGACTCGGTGGCTTAAAACTCACGCCGGGCGCGTGTGCGTGCGTGGTCAAGATCCCGAGAGGAGAATGGAGAGAAGGGATTGCGGGGTGGCCATCCCCCCTGGGGGATGATTTCTCACTTTCTGTCTCTCTGCCTCTGTCTGTGTGGCAAAAGCACACGCCCTATAGCAAAAATCTCTCCCTCCCTCAAAAAAAGTTTCATAGTTTAATTAAGTTGTATAGTCAACAGTAAACAGGTGAACATATTATAAATGCAAATAAGAACAATATATTAAATTGTCCAAAATATAGAACCCAAATTCTGTACAACAGGAAGTGGCTATAGAAAATAAAGTGTACTTTATGGCTAGGAAAAGGGAATTCAAAGCTACTGTTAGAAATCGCAGTTTATCACAAAGTATATCTCTGTAATAGATTTCTTTGAAATTATTACAGTGTAAGTATCAGTAGTTAAAGAGAACTCAAAAAACGAATGCTTCAACCTCACAATACCATCAACTTTTCTAACAACTCATGCATATTTTTTATTTCTCAATTTTTGAAAGTATTTAACAATTATATAGTATCTATAATTCAGGGGAAAAGTCGGTATTAGAAAACTAGAGTGCTAAACAAAAAACATTTCCATCAGCATTATCCATTAACTTTGAGCCCATACAAGGAGAAAAATGGCTCTCGCAGATACAAAATAACTTATTTTCCTCCAGATTCTTCTCCGCTCTCCATCCAGGTAAGATTGTTTGCTTTTCATGAAACATCGCCACTTAGATGTTTTTACCAACGACAACATAAAAGCAGACATAAGGATGGCGGGGCATCTATAATTAGACTGGAGGACGCCCTAATATATTTGAGAATCAGAAACTACCTTAAAACTATAAATTCAACACTTCCCTTGTAAATGAGGCCTTTAACGTCAGGAAATTTTAAGGAAGCCTGGTAAAAAGTCGGTCAGAATATGTTACTTCTCTGCACAAAATTCACCAATGGCTTCCCCTCCCGCTCTACGGGGATTTACTGGCTCTGCACAACACATACCCCCCGTTTTCTATTACTCTTTGCGCGAGTCCCTTTTACCCAGTACACAGGCCTTCCTGAGGCTCCTAGCGCACCCTATGCACGATCTTGCCCCAGGACTTCTGCTCTGCTGTTCCTTCCACCTGTGTCACTTGGGACCCAGATTTCTTTATTTACGATTATCTCACCTATCTTACTTCCTCCAAGGCACAGAGATTCTTCTCGGACAAGCTTTTCCTATTTAAAAGCAGGGCCCTCTCTCCTACGCTCTTTCCTCTTCCCCGCTTTACCTGCCCAGCTGCCTTCACCGCCTTCTAACGCGAGCCCGGAAGGCCCCGGACAGGGCGGCCCTGCTCGTCTCCCTCCCGGCTGCGGCCGACTCACCAGGTTGCGTAGCTGCGCCGCCTGCTCCTTGTGATAGTCCAGCCGTCCCAAGGAGCTGGGCCGGTATTTGTCCACCCAGAGGCTCATGGCAGGGCAACCTCCCGGGGCCGAAGCTTGAAAGTCCCGCGCGCGCTTCTTTTACCCGGAGACAAGTTTTCCCGCGAGCTGCCGACCGCAGCCGCGCAAGCCCCTTTAATGCTGGGAGGACTACGGAGGCCGAGTGTGCACAGAATTAGCTGCTACGTAGGCGCCTCGGGTTCCTAAGGTTTCCTGCTTTATTTCATCGTATTCTCTTTATTCTCACTTTTATGACATTATACAGACTATTATGCAGAATTGAAAATATTGCTCTGATTCTCACCCTAACGACATTACAGAAACTAGTAAGCAGAACTAAAAAGATGGCTCTGATGCTAAGGTACCACGGAGAACCCACTTTCCTCCGTGCATTTTGTTCATTCCTTCACCCAAGTCACCGAAACTTACTAAATATCTACTATGTGTTCAACTCTTTTCACGGAGAACCCACTTTACTCCGTGCATTTTGTTCATTCCTTCACTCAAGTCACCGAAATTTACTAAATATCTACTATGTGTTCAACTCTTTTTGGCAGTAGCATATATCCAGATCAGAGCTTCTCTCACGTGACAGACACCTAATAAAGCTTTATTGAAAAAACTGCTAAAAAAAAAAAAGATCTGACCTTCACTGTCATTTGTTATCTCAGCTCCTCCAGATTGATGAATTGAGAGCAAAAGAATCAGAAGAGCATAAAGAACTACAGAAACATGGCCTCTAGGAAAGAAAACATGAGGTTAACATGCTATTCTGAGTCCAAATCTTTGAAAGCCCTTTTGATTAAAGTGAGAAGAATGTGAAACTCTCAGGAACATATTCACCATATTAAATTCCTAAGAAATTGTCATTGCTCCTGTGAAACCATGCCTCTCAAAATACTCTTTTTAGTTGTATATTATACTAGCTCTTTATTAAGTTTATGCTTTTATATATGCATTGTTGAAAACCTTAAATTCTGTCATTGATTGCAAGATCTTACAGTACAGAATTTTTTTTGAGAGTTTTTTTTTGCTATAGGGCATGTGCATTCATCAGAAAGACAGAGAGAGAGAGAGATAGAAAGCAAGAAATCACCCCCTAGGGGGGTTGGCCACGCTGCAATCCCTTCTTCATTCTCCTCTCTGGATCTTGAGCACACACGCACACACACCAGGCGTGAGTTTAAGCCACCGGGTCAGGAACTCGAACCATGGTCGACTACATGGGAGTTCAGTGACATAGCCATTATACTAACTGCTGGTCCCCAGAATTGATTTTTAAGTGTCTAATAACCATGCATCAGGGTAGCCCTTCATCCTCTTATTAAACAAGAATTTAATATGCTCTTCTATGAATCATCACATTAAATGAGTTACTCTTTAGGCAAGGTATTATTGAGCACAATCATAACACCCCCAAATATAAGAAAAAAACCTTCCCAAAACAAGCCTGCAAGGCTTCTGTCTCAGAGTATCTGCACTTACTGCTGCTGCTTCCTGGACCACGTTTTTCCAGTGACAATAGAGCTGGGTCTTTTACTTCCTTCTGGCTATTTGCTCAATGTCCTCTCAGGGAGGCCTAAACCACTCTACTTAATACTGAAAAAAAATCTCCTCATTCTTTATACTCCTCCTTTATTGTAGCTGTATGAAGAAAAAGTGTTTCAAATGAGAAGATAAATCAGAAGCAATAAAGAGTATAGAAGTGTCATCTATGTGGATATCAGAACCAGAAAAATTATAAGGGAAATGACTACTGGGAAGAGAAAGCTAATCAGGTGTTAGAATGATCAGTAATTTGGCAGGAGTGATCACAGCTTAATAGTCAACTTTAATATGGAGAGGTAGGTGATGGAGTATGAAGGCATGTGCTTCAAAGTTGTTGGAGGTTCTAGGAAAAGAAAACTAGTTTAGAAGGGACACCATGGCACAACAAAGACAGCTCACTAGATTGCCAGGTTTTGCAAATAAAAATAGAAAAGACCTGAGTTAAAGTTGAATTTTGGATAACTTTTCAGTATAAATAGGCCCCAGACAACATTTGCAATCAAAATTTATCATTTATCTGAAATTCAGATTGAATGGGGTGCCCCATATTTTATGTGACTGTCCTACTGCAGACTCTTGAATATATGGATGTAGTAAATGGCTACACAGGAAGGAGCATCCTCAAGAGAGAACCATAAAATGATGGACATGTTCAGAGGGGAGCTTACGAGCATAAAGTAAGGTGGGTAAACTATAGCTCCACTTACTGACAGTGATCCACAGGTTCCCCAGCTCCAAAATGGAGCTAATGATACCTGTTTTTCATGGTTTATTTGAGATGAAATAAGGTAACAAATAACTACCACATAATGGTACTCAATAATTTGTGATTATATTTTAGTGAGAAGAGACTTTACCAAAGAAAAGTGATAAAGGTGCCATCCTGCCCATTTTTTTTAAAAAAAAAAACAAGCCTCCAGGTCTGGGACTCAAACTGTGGTGAGCCATGTGGGGGTCCAACAACCCTTAACCACCGTGCCACCGGCTAGCCCCAAGGTGCCATCCTGTACCTGCAACCAAACCTTCTAGGTCTTCAAGGTAAACCACTGCTTTACTTGGGCTTGTCTTAGAAACTCTGGCAGTTTGTTGCACTGCCCTTCTCTGGGCAAACTTGTAATTGGTTCTTGCCAGAACTTTCAAGAGGCCATAAGATCACTGTAGAGGATAGAGGGCATAATTTTACTTTTTCTTTATTCTCTATTAAAAACAATACTGAAAATAAAATTTTTAATTTTAAAATCTCCATTTTGGCTTCACACCTATGTTTGTGAGTTTCCTTCTTTATTTACATGGCCAACTGAGAGGGTTTGGACCTCCCTTCTCAGGGAGCAGACACAAAAAATGTTGCTGGTTTCATGGCCTCCATTTGGAAGGAAGTATTCTAGCCCTCTTTTCTTTCCATTTTTTTCTGTGATTCACAATGATAGCCTTAAGTAATGATTCTATTTCCTTGTTTGAGACAGGACCATTGAGCAGATTTCTCTCTGCACTTTAGAAACAATATTGAACAGTAATTTGACAAAAAATGAATGTATTTCTCATAAAAATTTTATATAACATCACATTTTATTTGTGGAAATAGAATGAAATATATCTTTCTGAAATAAATGAGCATAGAACTTGATGCAAATAGTTTGAAAATAATCATTCAAAACTCCCGAAGAGAGGGAAGAAATGCAAAATTTATGGTAGTTTGTGGCATAGGCAGTATTTTGTTTGCCAAATATCTTCTCTGTTCCTCCTGGTCACGGGGGTGCTTTCCCCTCCTCTTTTTATAGTTTGTGGAATTGTGGAATTACATGACTGAGTTCTAGTTAATGAAATATAGTCTGTAATTAGCACTGATGCACGCCATTTCCACACCTATCCCATGAATCTCCCTGTGTGCCTCTCCATCCCTTCTTTGTTCATTGGTCAGTTAAATGTAAAGATCTGGGCAGATAACTCTGACATTCAAGATGACAATTGTGACAGTAGGAAAGTAGTTGGGTTTCTACATGGAGATGTTCACATGGTTCAGCA